CCCATCATGTTTGGGATCAGGTTAGGAACTCCCACTCTGCTATATTTGACCCAAGACATCATTTTATTAGTCATCAAATATAACATTAAAAATAAAAAAGGAAAAGCAAATAATTACTTACCCCCCCCTCCCCAAGTCTCAGGAGTCATTCAGTCATTCATTCATTTGCTTATTCATTCAACAAATACTTGTTAGGTATCTACTGTGTGCCAGGGTTCATGATGGATAGTGCTTGGGATACAAGGGTGGACGAAAAAGGACAAGTCGCTGCAGTCATGAAAACGTACAGTCCTTGGTGAGAAGCAAACATTAATCAAATAATTACTCAAACAAAACATCATAATTGTGACAAGTTCTCTAAACCTCTTTAAAGAGGAAGATTTGACCTTATTAGAGAGGATCTGACCCAGTAGGGAGAAAATAAAAGTTGATATTTACAGGATGGGGAGTAGTAACCAGGACAGAGGAATGGAAGAAAATTCCAGATGGATGAAAGAGCAGGTACAAAGCACCTATAATAGAAGGAGCCTTTGCAGTTTGAAGGTCTGAAAAAATATAGATGTGTTTACGCGTGGCAATGTTTAGAAGCCAAATAGCAAGAATGCCTAAACACAGCCAGCAAGGGAAAAAGAAAACAGGGCCACTGCTTTCAAAGAAGCCAGAAACAAATATATTCTAGACCAGGTTATCTCACAAACAGGTGAGTTTCTTGCCTCTAGATCCATTTTAGCAGGTAACCTTTCATAATCTACGAACAGATATTAACAAATGATTTTTAGATTGGTAGTTTTTCATCCTTTATAGAATGTTGCTTATGTTTTGTTTTGCATGTAACTTGAGATTTATCTTCTCTTTTCTTTCAGAAAGGAGTCAGCATGGTATGAATCTCAGGTGGTGAGTACTTGTCCTATCCAATCTTTTAATACTTCCAAAAAGTGCTTCCCTTAAGCAAGTGCCTTTTCTTGTTCACTACAGTATTTCCAAAGCTGAGAACAACACCCGAGACATAGTAGGTGCTCATCAAACACTTATCATATTCATTAATTAGTAAAGCAAACAATAAAAATTTGTAGTTTTAAGGGTATATTCATTTATAGCACTCCTGGGGGACATATGTCAACAGCATCTATCAAAGGTGGACCCTACCTTGTGAACCATCTCTGACCATGTTCTGCACAATTGTCTAAGAATCCATTCATTGGCTTGTTTCTAATGGGGCGGGGGTAAGTAAAAAGTACTATAATAAGAATTGATTTATAGTTTATTTCACATTTTATTTTTTATGTGTTTCAAATATATACTTTGACAATAGAAACTGATTTTGATTAGTATACTGTTTATTGAGAAGAGAACTTCAAAGAAATATATACATTAATTTTATTTACTGATCAAGGCAACAATTAAAATGTTTTTCTCCCATTATAAAATGATTCTTTTAAAAATATTGGCCCAAGTGTTCAGAAAGTGCACAACTAGCACAAACTGTGGCATCTCATCTTAAATTACATGGTCATTCTGTTTGCATCAGACAAGGTCTAGGGGTTGTGTTGAGAGGAAGGGGATTGAAGGATTTGGAAGTGGTCAATGAATTAACACTGGAATTCAGCCCTCGACCAGGACCTGAAGAGAGGTTCTGGAAGATCAGGACAAGGGGGCTGTCATAGGGATGAGGTGGGGTAGGAAACATGAGCTGGTTGTAGAGATATGGGGTGGGGGAAGAGGGTTCCTTACCCATACTAACACTCAAGGAGCACTTAGAATATGCCAGGCTTTATTCTGCATGGCTTTCATGTACCATATCATTTAATCTTGCAATAATTCTGATCAATAAACACTGTGTGCTCATTTTACTGTGGTTATCAGATATTTCCCTGTCTACTCTCACCTAAAAGTAACTAGACAGTGTCCTTTTATCTTGTTTTTCCCCCTTAGGTCTGTGTTCCTTTGCATTTGGGTTCCATTTGTTGTTATGTACCATGCCGAGATAGATTTGCCCTGCAGATCAAAATGTCTATGGGTATCCCCCTCCCCAGGCTCCAGAAGTGGGAGGACTGGCAGGAACCATGGAGCGAAGGGAAAGCTGTCTCTATGCACACATCAGTGAGGAAGTGGAATTTTTTGTTGCCATTAATATGTTTAGCGTCTAGTTTCTGAAATTAGAGAACTATGAAGCTAAGCTACATAGATGTGCCAATTGGCCTTTCTTGGCTGTTTGTTCATTTCTTTTTTTTTTATACTCACCTGAGGACATTTTTCCATTTTTTGTTCAGATAGAGTGAGAGGGAGAGACACAGAGAAACATCGATGTGAAAGGGACACATCGAGTGGTTGCCACTCGCATGACCCAACCAGGGCCGGGGACGAACTGCAACTGAGGTACGTGCCCTTAGCGGGAACTGAATCTGGGTCTCTATGGACCGCAGGCCAATGCAACCGCTGAGACAAACCTGCCAGGGCTGTTTGTTCATTTCTTTAAGGACCATTCTGGTTCTGACTTTCTACCTGAAATGAACACCCGTTTCCAGTCAACCTTCTCAAAATATCAGTCACAGGAACTCTAACTAGTTTAATTTTAGATGTGGAAGTGATCATAGATGGCATTTAGTATTACTTCCATTGTTTTAGTTAACAAAAGGCAATGCTGATGACTGAAAGGTCACTTGAGTAGCCCAAGATAGACTTTTGGTCTAATGCACTGTGTACTAGAGCACAGTGGAAAACCATTTCAAGTCAACAGAGTCATCTTCATAGCCAAAAGCCATTCTTAAAAAAATAAAATAAATAAAATAAATCTCGCCCTGGCCGGTTTGGCTCAGCGGTTAGAGCGTCGGCCTGCGGTCCCGAGAGACCGGGGTTTGGTTCCCGCTAAGGGCACGTACCTCGGTTGCAGTTTGTCCCCGGCCCTGGTTGGTTGTGCGGGTGGCAGCCACTCGGTGTGTCCCTTTCACATCGATGTTTCTCTCTCTCTTCCTCTCTCCCCCTCCCACTCTACCTGAACAAAAAATAGAAAAATGTCCTCAGGTGAGGATAAAAAAAAAAAAAAAAAATCTCTGTCCATGTTTCATCATTTCTTCAAATTTGTACCTATTTCAAAATTGTATTTTAAAGAAATCCAGTGACCATACAGTCTAATTTAAACACATTAAATAAATCTGGTCACCTCTTTAGAGTAAGTCATGTATATTTCATACCTGTGTTTTAAAAAGTCATGATAAAACAACAACAAAAATCACCATTGTAATAGCTTCAATCACTTTCCCAGTGTAAAAGATGAAAATAAATATTTGAGATGAATTCTTTTCTAATTGCTCTTCCACCCTTTTTTGGAATGAGGAAAACATGAGCCATCCTTAAAAGTATTAGCAGTTAAAAGGGAGGCAAGAGTTTGGAACTGTTCTGTTGTCCAAGACTATGATGATAGCCTGAGTAAATTTCTAGAACCTGATAAAACTAGTTTGCTTCTTTACCTTGCGGAAAGCTGCATTCTAGAGATCAGGGTGTCATCGATAGGATGATGTGTTTTTATGACATCATTGCTGAAAAAGCATCAGGGTTAAAAAATATAGAAAGGGGATGTTAACTACTCTCACGCTGATGACCCAGGCTTATTTTATTAGCAAAGATGCAATGATAAATTTTATGGATATGAAGACAACAAACAGCTCATTATGTGGTTATTCACTAATAAAATAGAGCACCGGAATAATATATAGACGGTAAGGCATGTACTGTTTGACACTACTTAAGAATTTAAGTATTTGGTCAATGTGGTGATAATTTGGGTTTTGTGTTATTAGGATGGCACATGTTTTCAAGAACTGGGATGGTGTGAGTGTCATGGTTGGCTTTTCAAACAGGTTTCTACAAACATCCTTGAGGAGCAAACTAAATGAAATGGAACAGACAAGTTTCTCCTTTGTGGTCAGAGTTTCCTGGTTTAAGTCAGTAATTGAAAAGAAGTGTAAAAGGGTGAGTCAGAATGCCCTGTCATTGTTTCGTGACGAGCTGAAAGCACAATGCATTTAGGTTTTAATCTTCCAGGTTAAGTGCTGCCATAATTCATTGGTTTAAGTACACTTTAAATCAAAACGAAAATTTTTCCCATTTTTTTTTTTTTTTCTTCTCACCACAAACTCTGATTTGGGTGGTAGGAAAGTCAGGGAGAAATTTCGCTAGCTACTAGGAGTCCAATTTAGGCGATAAATTATAAGAAGGCCAGTTGTGATAGGAATGATTTTGGAGAAAATCAGTAGCCCACATTTAGTCACAATCTAGGATCTCAAGCAATGCATTTTCCGTAGTAACGCACCCTTGGTTTTGTTATTTTGTTGTAGCCTAGGTAAATATGCAGGCGTGGGCAAAAGTAGGTTTACAGTCGTTCCTATGGAAAACAATACAATAATTAATAAATAGTAAATACAAGAATAAACTGTGTTTTGCTTACTCACAATTGAAAACCTGCTGTTGCCCACCCCGTATATAATACACAGCCGTCTTTAATTTATGGTAATTTTCTTGTATCATTGTCATGTTGGTCATGAAATTAAAAAAAAGAAAAACACCTCCAGATCCTCAAAGAAAGGTGTGTGCTACAGATGAAAACTCTGTCTGAACCACACTTGGTTGTCTGCAATAAATGTACTTAAGCAAAGAGTTTGTAAAAGTCTCCCTGGGGTCGATCCTCCAACCCAGCTGCCTTGGGCAGCTGTGACCAAATCCGACGTTTCCAGGTGGCAGGTATTTTTGCGGATCTGTAGCTGACCCCAGGGCAGGGCCAGGTACTGTCCCAGAGGCGGAGCCTGGGCCGGGAGCGAGCTCGGACCCGAGCCCTTTCCTGCAACCGGCGTGCTCCGGGAGTGAGTCTTTGTATAGTCAGGGCTTCTGCTGGGCAGGGCCACCTGCTAATCCTCCGGGCGGACACCGGGGCGGGGGGCAGATGGGGCATATAGGCGACGTCCGCTGATGAGAAACACCTAGCGCAGGTAAAAGGGTGGCGGCGAGAGGGAGTTCCCACCTGTTAAGCTCTTAACGAAACGGAGACTTAAGAAAATACTAAGGGAGGGCCGATCGGTGTCTTTTGGACGCGTCTGGAGCCCCACCCTCGGCCAGAGGAAAAGCCCCTTGAGTAAGAAGCGGACGCTTCAGAGAAATCGAGAAGAAAGCGTCACTCCCGCGCTCTGCCTGGCTCTCCTGCCGCGCCGCCCGCCCAGCCTGCGCCGCGGCCTTTCGCCCGAGGAGCCCTCCCTCCCCGGCCTCCGGGTGTCCTGCCAGGCGACCTGCCCCGAGTGCTCCCATGGCGGCAGCCCCAGCCACGCGCGCCCGGAGCGGAGCCCTCTGCCGGCAGCTCCTGCTGACCCTCACGGTGAGTGGCTGCCCCGGCCGCCGGCTTCCTAGAGGGGGCTCCGATCGATCGGAGAGCAAGGGGGACACCTCGGGAGCGGAGGCGGTGAGGAGCGGTGGGCAAAGGCGTTAGTGGGCCTTGGGCTCGCCAAGAAATGGAGTTGGGTGCCGTGGGAGAGGACACACGGAAAGAGAACGGTGACCCGGGCGCCGGATCCCCAAGGGGAAAAGAAGGGTGTCTCCGGTAGATGCAATCAGCGCTGACAGGTAGAGACGGAGGCACCAGCCGCAAACGCCCTTCCGAAAGCGTGGCCTCCGGGTACGAGCTGGGAGCGCGCTGATCCTTTTCGCCTGTCGCCAGTCGCTTCTGCCTCGGTGCGGGTTCAGGCCACTGAAGAGGGGGTGCTGCGGGCGGGCGCGACGTATGGCGCTGTCCTTGGGCAAAAGAGAGACTACGCGATCAATTTTAGGGGTGTGTGTGTGTGTGTGTGTGTGTGTGTGTGTGTGTGTGTGCGCGCGCGCGTTCCGTCTCGACCCTCTGCTCTTAAGGACGGGCTCTAGGTGAGCCTTTGTAGTTTCCATTTCTTTGGTCACCCTGTGAGGTTACCTTCCCCTTCATCTTGGAGAAAATGATCATCCAGATCTCTTGTGCCCAAAGGCATCTGTATATTTCCGCCCCTCGCTCTCCCGCTTCCTTCCCTCTTAAAAAAGAAAGAAAGAAAGAAAGAAAGAAAGAAAGAAAGAAAGAAAGAAAGAAAGAAAGAAAGAAAGAAAGAAAGAAAGAAAGAAAGAAAGAGAGAGAGAGAGAGAGAGAATAAATTAGCGAAGACCCTCAACTCCCAGAGCTGGAAGCGGAAGGGGGTGGCCTTATTTGGGGCGGGACAGCTCTCTTCTCTGGCAGAAAAGACTGGGATCTAATTGGGGGACCGGAAGGCACGGAAATCCTGTGCAAGAGCAGCCCCTGGAAGAGTTGGGGACCAGAGGTGCCCCAGACTAGACTACCTGGGTCTTCTGGAAAAAGGAACGTTAAAAAGACCGATACAAGAGAGTGCTCAGGTCGCTGGTGTCCTTTGACGTGGAAACTCCTGCGACGGGTCTCCAGTCAAATTTGAAAGACAAGGGGATGGATCCGGCCGACCTACAGTGGGAAGATTCCTCCTGGGAGTGGGAGTGGTGCAACTGGGGGTCTGAAATATTCGGATAATTTCCCCTTCCCTACCGCTCTTATTTTAAAGTGAATTCCTTAACTTTGTAATAATGAAATTGTAGTTGTTACTATTATTAGAAGACCTTTAGAACTCTGTAGCCTCCAAACCCTTAACTAAATTCCTGGGGACATTAATAACAGAAAAGGCCAAGCGCACAACAGTTAACACTGCACAGTTGAGGAAACAATGAGTGGAATGAATCGCGGTCACAAAATATGTAGTCGATGGCAAAGGAATAAATTTTGGTTAGGTTTCTAATAAAGTTGCCACCTCTGTTTACATCATTGGCCATAATTCTTCGAAGGAAAAGCAGTGATTAGTCACAGGCAATAAACAGCATTGCTTTGAGTTTTACTTACACACAGAACTTCCTGCTTTCATCTCAGATCCTTTTTAGAGGAAAGTGGTTATAGCTGAATAGGTAAACTGCATAATCCCCATTTCATGGCCTTCCTTAGCTTCAAAGCAGTATAGACCAGAAGGGGGATAGACAGAGAGCACAGGCTCTGGTTGCACCCCTCATTCTACTACATTCAAGTTGGGAGGAAGGTCTGGTGTGATGCTCTTGGCATTTTCTCTGCAGAGCCCTTCCAGCCTCACCTGGTTGTTGTGGTTGTGAGCCTCAAGAGTAGAAGACATTATTAAATGAGCTTGACTTTGGAGGAAACCCTTTCCATCGCATGCTCCCAATACACCCAAGGAATCCTTCACCATTCCACAAATCAGCTTCTCCCCACTTCCTAATATTGCCTCCTCACACATGTCTACCACTTGAACTCTGGCTTCTGTCTAAACACCTATGCAGCTTCTCTTTCAAAGTTCATCAGGCATCTTGATTGATATATCCAAAACACTCCTTATATAATTCCACCTTGTAGATTGCACCTTTATTCTTGAAATTCACTCCTCTTTTCTTTCCTGACCACTCAGAATCGGACTCCTGAATCCTATTCTAGGGGTTTTCCCTAAAGTGTAATGCATGATACCTACACATACTAAATTTATTTTGCTAGTTTGGATATTGTCATTGAACAATAGGCCTTTATATTTCTCTACCTACTATGATCTGTGACACAACATTTATCTTTGCAAACAATGTTGTTTTTCTTCTAGTGTTATATTTCAGTAAATAATACTATAATACATCTTGTTCCTCAAGTAAAAAGCCTGGAAGCTTTTTGTTTTTCCTTTCTTATTGTTCCCCTCCCTTAATCCATTATTCAGTCCCATTAAATCTACAGTTAGAAATATTTCATAGATATTTTTACCTTAGTCATCACCTCTGCTATTACTCTTTGCTATTACAAATAATGTCACAATGAATAAAACTATATAAATATTATTTCATGTATAGGAGGTGTATCACTAGAACAGATTACAAGAAATGAGATTGCCAGATAAAGGTGTAAATGACTATGCTTTTGGTAGGTATCACCATTTTCCTCTTCATAAATGTTGTATATGACTAGATAGAAAGCAATCTTATGATAGATAAGCATATCACATCATTGAGGAGATACATATACATATATATTATACTACACTGTATATATCTGGCATGAGACCACCATACTAAATCTAGCAGTCATTTAGCAAAAGATAAAGTTGAATCCTTACCTAATGCAGAACACCATAGAAAATTCCAAGCAGATGAAAAATTTAACTATAACATATGATAGCCATTCAGATAATAGAAGAAGATGAATTTCTATTTAAATTTGGAGTCAAAAAGTCCTATTTATGGCTTAGATTTCAAATGTCTTTTATTAAAATTGAGAAAATCAATCATATTAAAACACACAGACATAATCATTGTCCATGGCAAAAAAAAAAAAAAAACTATACCAAATGAAACAAAAACATCATAAGCAAAGTCAAAGGTAACTGACAAAGTGGAAAAAAAAGTTTTCAGATCATATTTTAAAATGTTAATCTAATATATAAAGTGGTCTTCTAAATCAAGAAGTGTAACATAAGCATGGACATAAAATATTTCCATAAAGTAATAAAAATGGCCCGTTAAATTATTTTAGCCTCATTCATAATAAGAAAAGATGAATATAAAACTACATTGATATGTAATTTGTTATTTGGCAAATATCCAAAAATTGACAGCATGCTGTGTAGGCAAGAATGTGAAGAAACAGAAACCCTGTAGATAGTTGGTTAATGGAACAAAATGTTACTACCTTGATGGACTGTATACAGTTACATCAAATGCAAATTGAAACTGTTTTACTTCATCCTTTTCAATTTGTATGCACCTAGTATCTTTCTGTTTTTCATATACCAAAATTACATTATTTTTATTATTGAGACTTTATAGGATCTTTTACTATATACTAGGGCAATATTCTTTCATTCCTTTTCTTTTTCATAATTTTCTTGTCTGTTAATTACTGATATTTTCTTATGACCTTTTAAATCATCTCGTCTAGTAGCAGAAAAAATACTGTTGGGATTTTTATTAGGATTATAAAATTTATAACAGGGAAATGTATATTTATGTTATTTATTTTTCTTTTCAAATTAAAAATATGTCTTTGTGAAGGTCTATTTTTGTGCCCTTCAGAAATATTTTCAGATTTTTCTCAAATAGGTTTTACATGTTTTTTAAGTTTACTCCCTGGGATTCTATTGTATTGCTTTTGAAAATTATTTCTTCTCTTCTGTTATATAACTTAACTGGTTGTATTTATGTGTATGAATACTAATGATTTCTATATTTTAATTGTTATTGCTACTCCTTTACTGAAATTCTTATTGCTTTATAGTAATATATTGGTTAATTTGCTGGGATTTTCCAGGTAAATGGTCATATCAAATGCAAATAGAGATCTTTTTTACTTCTTCTTTTCCAATTCATATGCCATCTAATATCTTCCTTTTGTTTGATATACTTTAATGTAAGGTTAACTAAATAATGACCTTGGAAAGCCTGTCTTGTTTCTGAGTTTAGTGTGGCTATCTTTTGTGCTTTCCCATTGAATGTTGTGATTATAATATAGTATAAAAATCATATTGAAGAAGTAGTTATTGATTCCTATTTTGAGGTCATGTAACAAAAAAAATCTAAGAATGGTTATTGAATTTGGTCAAATGTCTTTCAGCATGTTGATCACATGCCTGGGCTTTGTGTTAATTGCTGGCATGAGGCTCCTAGACCAAGCAAGTGATAGGAATGTGTATCACAGATCCATGTAAGGTCCAGTTTACTTCCATCTCACTACTACAAAGAAGGCTTTACATTTGGGTCCCAGCTAATGTGGTCGGGTCTTATCTTAGATCTAAGTTGGGCCCATGTTTTGACTTCACTCTTTTCTAGGGAATTAAAAAAAACGGAATCAAATCTTTTTGGATTACAAGTCACTTCTAGTTATTACCATGTTCCCTGCTTTATCCTCATTTTTTTGTCTAGCAATGCCTTGCTAGATGTTTTAGGATGTCTACAAAAAATGTATCCATCATTTTCAATTTTGGCATGGGGGTTTGTCTGAACGACCTAGCTGCCATTATTAGAAATGAAAATTGTTCCTCATCCATCCTTCACACTGGTCAGACTTACCTTATTCAAATCAAAATCTTATCATGTAATTTGTCGACTTAAAACAAATCTGTCTTATTCTCTTTAGGAAATAAGATCCATATACTTTGTTAATACTATTCAGAATCTGTCCACACCTACTTCTCTGAATAGATTTTAGACTTCTGTTCCTCTCGTACTATATGCCTCAGCTATTCCAGGTGTTCGTGTTCAGTTCTGTGTCATCTCTGAGCCTTTGCACATGCCATTCTTCTGTTTGGAACATATAAACTCTGCCTCTTCTTGACATGGGTAATTTGTAGCCACTCTTCAGGTGACATTATCTGGCTCTTACATGAGGCTAGTTCCCTTCTCTCCCACAGCACCCTGTGCATCCCTATTATAGCATTTACCCTACTTGACTGAAACTGCAAAGATGCCTTACCCTTGAATTGAGTGTTGCATGAAGATCATGTTTACTTCTCTGTGTCTGACACATAGCAGGCATTCAATAAATGTTTGTTGAATGCATGAATGAATGGATGTCAAGGACACTTATCCAAAGTAATGCCTTAATTCAGCCATTTCTTGCCTTATCCCCTGCTTTCACCGTAGTCCAAGTTGCCATCCTCCGTCTGATACCTCCTGCAGCTTCCAAATTGCTCTCCTTGCTTTCACTCTTGCTTCTATAGTCTATTGTCACAGAGCCCACCGGAATGATTCTATGTCAATGCTTGCCAGATTATGCCTCTCTGCTGCTTCTAAACCTGAGGCTGCTTCTCTTTGCCCTCAGAATAAAGTCTGCACTCCTTAATATGGCCTTTTAGATCATAGGTGATATGCCCCTGCTTATCTCTTTAATGTCACCTCCTATCACTCTTTCCTCATTTTGTTCCTCTAAGACACAGGTAACATCCCCTTGCAGGGCCTTTGTTCTGCTTTTGCTCCACCTGGAAGACTCTTCTATTGGAGAACTGGTTTGCTTCCTATTTCATTCAAGCTCTGATCTACCCTTTGCCCTCTTCTCTCCCTGTTTTATTTTTCTCATAACATTTATCTCTTGGCATTATGTGACCTTTGTGTATTTGTGTGTTAATATTTTGTTTCTCATTATAATGTTAGCTCCATGAGGTCAAGGACTTTGCTTTGTTTATTGCTGTAGCCTTTGAACACTGCCCAGCACCTAGTAAACAACCCCTAAATGTTGATTGAATGAGTAAGTGGATGTGTGTTTTCAATCACCTTGAGCTAGAATCCTCAGTCATCTGACTCTATTTCTGTTCTCTCGACTGTGCAGCCAGTGACAATTCCTCTCATCTTTTAATTTCCAGTTCAAATACATTCTCTTCATTGAGTCCACCCCCAATTTCCAAGTGAAATATGATCCCTGTTTTACCTGATTCTTCAATATGTAATTAAAATTAGATAAAGATTCTTTAATGTGTATTGGAAGTAAAATTTTTAATCCAAATTTTGCTGATTTTAATTTATGTTCATAGACTTTGCAAATAATGATGTAAATGTTAGTGTTACCTATCTTGCATTTAGTCAAACTATAGAAGAAAAATTGTGACTCAGAAGCATCCATTGTAATATTTCAGAGAGAACAGAATTAAATTTCAGTGTGTTCAAATATACATCGTATTGTAATTTGTTAACCATAAATTGCTAACTCATTTAAAAAACTTTATTTTCTAAAATGACCTTAACTCTCATTTATGAGAAGATGCACCTTCACAATAAGCTAGTATTTCAAAGGTATGTGCTTGGTTTCTGTGGGGTATTACATAAATACTTTCCAAATCACTCCACAGCAGTGAGTTAAAGTTACTCTTTAAAAGCACTGGGGTTTATATAGGCTGTTATTGATTTGGTACCACAGCTCATGTAAGCACTTGATAATTGAAACATTTTGCTGGCTCAGTAATTTGTTTTTGTTTCTCTTTCCTATTGACACACCTGCGCTGCCTGCCTAATAGTTGCAGTGCTCGCTTGCCATTGCTAGGTTGTCATTGGTTCCTCAAAGTGCCTACTGAGCTTGGGAATTTACTATTAACTTTATTTTATAGAACAGGAGATAAAACCCAAGAAGGTAAAGCATTGTCTGAGTTCACATTCTCTGTGAAGGAGTGAGCCATGACTCTTAGCTTATTATTTTATTCTTCCTCTCGATTCAATTTTTTCTGATTTTTTTTTTTTTACTCCAGTGTAATTTTTTTCTCACTTTGTTAATGATATAAACTGATTTATAGTTATACGAATTTATAATTTATATAAACTATATACATTAAAGGTATCTTTTTTAATGCGTAATGTTGAATTGATTTTTTAGATCTTCACCTTTGCCTGTGATGCCTGCAAAAAAGTGATACTGCATGTTCCCTCCAATCTGGACGCTGAGACATTTGTTGGTAGAGGTAAGAAACAGCCAAAATATGTAAAATCTTAACTTGTATGATCTTGTAAAATTAGTGTAACTTTTAGAGGGGTAACTGTATTGGAACTAAGAGTTAGAACTGCCCTGGCCGGTTTGGCTCAGCGGTTAGAGCATTGGCCTGCAGTCCCGAGAGACCCGGGTTCGGTTCCCGCTAAGGGCATGTACCTCGGTTGCAGTTTGTCCCCGGCCCTGGTTGGTTGTGCGGGTGGCAGCCACTCGATGTGTCCCTTTCACATCGATGTTTCTCTCTCTCTCTCTGTTCCTCTCTCTCCCTCCCACTCTACCTGAACAAAAAAAAAAAAAAAAAAAAGAGTTAGAACTATTATAGTACATTAGCATTTATAATACATATAATATCATTCCAATAAAAGGAATATTGCTTTTTAATTGAAAATTATGATTATATTAAGCAGATAAAATGTTTACTTTGAGTAATAAAAAGTATTAATATTTTCATTAATTGAAGAATATAGAGTATGTTTTTAAATTTTTTTTCTTTATTGATATTAGAGAGAGAGAGAGATAGAGAGAGAGTGGAAGAGAGAGGGAGAGAGAGATTGAAACATCAATGAGAGAAAACATCAATTGGCCGCCTCCTGCATGCCCCCCACTGGGGATTTGGCCCACAACCTGGATATGTGCCCTGACCAGGAATCAAACCAAGGTGACCTCTTGGTGCATGGATAGATGCTCAACCACTGAGCCACACTGGCCAGGCTATGGTGTATGTTTGAACATGATTCTGTGAAATTGAAAAATAGTATTGAAACCATTTCTTAAGTTTAATGGTATTGATTTTGGATTTATGACCTAAAATGTTTTGGCATCTTATTGACATTACTTTCAGTAATTAATTTTTTTATATAACTCTTCTTTAAAAGGATATAATATAGGTATTAGAAGTGATGTATGTGTTATTAGTATTTGGCACAACTTAACCATAGAGTTTCATATGTTCTTTTAAAAATGAAAAATTCACGAGTGTCAGTGTAGTTAATTTAAAGTTTTTGCCCCCTCCACGCATATATTACCATTAAAACTGTATATTGGTATGTTTAACCTAACCAGTGATTGCTGTGTGTATTTTTTTTACAGTTAACTTGAAGGAGTGCTTTAAGTCGGCAAATCTAATCCACTCAAGTGATCCTGATTTCCAAATTCTAGAAGATGGTTCAGTCTACACAACAAATGCTGTTCTTTTTACCTCTAAGAGACATTTTACCATATCACTTTCCAACACTGAGAACCATGAAGAAAAGAAAATACATGTTCTTTTAGAGCATCAGACAAAGGTATACCAAACTACAAAATGAAATATAATGAAGTATTTTTTTCAGGTGTAACTAACATTACCTGGGATGTTGTGGAATCAGAAATGATATGGGATAGTTTGGCTTGAAGAAGAATGAAAACCACGAGGAACATTAACAGTGTTCAAATGGAAAAGGATCATGCAACATAATTAGAGGTGGTAATTCCTTTTCATTTGGGACCTGAAAAGAGAAATTGAATTATGCTATAGCATAAGAGCTTGAGATTAGACATAGAGGAGCATTTACTGTAGAACAGATTTTTAAAAACAAGTTTTGAAACTATATCTGGAGGCCTCATGCTATCTTAGATAGCATAATTTTAATTTTAGAAAGGAGATGACTATTTTAGGTTGAGGTTCGGACCTCACTCATACTTATTACATTGTGACACCCAAGGTCAAAATGACTTCTGTTCAACCATTGGCCGTTACTCACTGTAGCAGTTTGAGAGTTGTTATCATGTTTCTCTCCTTCTGACACAGATCTCTCTGTTGATTCCCCGACTCTTCCTAGTTGTTGGTGAGTGGATGATGCTTATACTAAACTTGGAAGGGCACATAGTCTACTTATTTTCATTGCATATCTCTTCTTCCATGTTTTTGCATGGCAATGTGGCAAGAGTAATTTTTGTTTTTTCAGTTTTGCTTCAAGGCTTACAAGTTCATCTCTTTCTTCCATATGCCCATCAAGTTATTTTCTCAGGAGGATTACTGTGATAACAGTTAGGGCAGTTATTTCTTCTTTATCTTTTTGCAATGTTGATGTACAGTTTTTTTTGTTACAAATGTTTCTCCTTTTTTTCCCATTGACACCCTCTTCCCCATCCCCCCACCCGGCTTTGTTGTCCATGTCCATTGTTCATGCACACATGCATATAAGTTCTGTGGTTTATCTCTTCCCTACCACCTACACCCCCTCTTCTGAGGGTTGTCAGTCTGTACCCTACTTCCACGTCTCTGTGTCTACCCTGTTCCTCAGACTGTTTTGTTCATTATATTCCACAAATAAGTGAGATCATATGATACTTGTCTTTTTCTGTTTGGCTTGTTTCACTCATGATGACACTTTTCGGGTCCCACCATGTCTTCTCAAAGGATAAGAGATCTTTCTTTCTTACAGCTTCATAGTACTCCATTGTGTATATGTACCACAGCTTTTTTATCCATTTGTCTACTGATGGAAACTTGGGCTGTTTCCATATTTGATGTTTAGCTTGACGTTCAAGCACCACTGCAGTTCAACACCTGCCCCAGCTAATCCTCATGAGAAGATAAAGATGTATCAACATTCTAATGTTTGAAAATAAAATGGTTGCTGACTTTAATTCTCTTTCTGTTTTCTAAATTGAGGTACTAAAGCAAAGTCATCCTAAAGAAAAAGCGCTAAGACGTGCCAAGAGAAGATGGGCCCCGATTCCTTGCTCAGTGATGGAGAATTCCTTGGGCCCTTTCCCACTTTTTCTTCAACAGGTACAATTTACTTTCTTTCCACTGTGAAGGACTATAGTTTCTATCTTTTATTCATTTATTTTTTTTTATTTGGACAATGAGTATTTAAAAGATAGTGGTGTATGAATATATGAATGAATATGTATCTCTTGTGTTTAAATATATGAGTATAAATATATATCTTAATACCTACATGTACTTTTTCGGCAGCTTTAGTCATGCAAAGGCCATTAATAAAACTGTAAAACCCATCTAACACTCTCAAACACATGGTTCCTTAAATAACTGTCACATCAACAAGGCTGTCACAGAGCCTGGGTATAGTCCAGAAAACTTCCAAACATCTTCTGTAAAAAAGGATGAAAATTGCTGATAAAGGCAAAATGCCATAAGGGGAAAGACACATACACCTTTCTATTGCTTATCCCTAAGTCCACTGCTTAAATCATAGTGGATCCACATTTTCTTTCTTTTTTAAGACTTTTAGTGGAAACCTTAGCAAATATCTTTGCCTTCTTCCACTATCTGTGGCCACTACCACTCAATCCACGACTTGGGTTTCTTTTCCCTTAGTTGTTGAAATGGAGAGAGAGAACCCCCTTTACATTTCATCCACAAATGTAATGCAGCTGAGACAATAGCATATTAAAGTTGAGAAATAAATTGTTAGAAAATAATTGTGTTAATTATGCTGATGTCTAGTCAAGATCTGTCTAAGAGGTTGAAAACAACTTGGAAAAATCTTGCTTTTCAATCAAGTACCAGAATATTACACTTGCCAGAATGTTATGCCATTTTTATTATCATTATCCTCAACCCCCAACACACATAAACTCAGCTTCTATAATAAAGAAGATACTGACAAATAACAAAAACAAATTAATGCCCGGTTGGGGTGGCTCAGTGGTTGAGCGTCAACCCATGCACCAAGAGATTGTCAGTTCGATTCCTGGTCAGGGCACATGCCCAGGTCGCAGGCCCGATCCCCAGTGGGGGGCATGTAGGAGGTGGCCAATCAATGTTCTCTCTCATCGATGTTTCTATCTCTCTTTCTCCGTTCCTCTCTCTCTAAAATCAATAAAGTAAAAAGAAAAAAACAAACAAACAAAAACATGAATTAAGGAAAGTATTTTCCAAGTTTTCCATGCAGGCAGAACACTTTAAATATAGTATCTCAAATATTATACGAGGTGGGCAAATGGAGGTTTACAGTTGTATGGGAAACAGTGCTTATTTTGGTATTATTATTTATTAGTTATTGTACTACTTATTTGTATTATAACTATAAAACTACTTTTACCAACCCCTCCATAAAATAAAAATTCAGTTGTGTGTTGTTGTTTTTTTAAATGACAACAAGAAAATTTTTCATGCTCAGAATACTTTGTTTTCTAAGATAGGAAAAGTTTCAGATGTTTGGTCCACATAGGTATCATTTATCCTTTAAAGCAGTCCTTAGTTATTCTGGAAAAGTAAGATGCTACTACATTAGTTTCCTCACACCTTGCTCTTGAAATTTCTCAATTATCAGACACTTTTATTCTCCTGTTGCTTTTTATTCATATATAATAATAAATAAAGAGGGCAGTTAGTTATTTTAATAAAAATGGCAATGTGATTGTGTAAATATATAAATGAAAATTTTGCTGAAATAAAAGTTGGTCTCATGTGTATAATATCTACCTTCTAGATTGAATCTGATACAGCACAAAACTACACTATATACTATTCTATAAGTGGGCCTGGAGTTGACCAGCGACCCCAGAATTTGTTTTACATAGAGAGAAATACTGGAAACCTGTATTGCACTGGTCCTATCGATCGTGAGCAGTATGACTCTTTTGAGGTAAAGTCTAAAGTTTACGTATTATATCAGCAGTCTTAAACTTGGCTATTTTGTTTCTCATTCTCGATTCATGTACCATTTTCTGTTTTCTAAGTTTGTGATCTAGGCATCTGATGCTGCAGACTTGGCTTGAGGCAAAAAGAATTTCGTAGGTTCTATTAGAAAGTTCTTGGTATCCTAGTTTTACTGTTCTGTTGTTGTTGCTTTTCAAAAAGGAATAGCATGTCAAAAACAGCTATTTAGTTGACCAAAAAGATCTGTGAGCCTCTTCATGGTAGAGAGAGGGACGGGAGGTAAGCGAAGTCTAGAATTAGGCCTCAGTCCTTTTGCAGTGGGAGGAAACTAACCCGTGGCGAGCAAGTGAGGACCATGGACAGTGCTTAACTGAAATGATTTAGTGTTTTCACCAGCTGGGTAACTTCCACGTGGAATGAGAGGTAATGTCAGAATTTCACCTAATGTATTTATTTTCCAACAGGACCTGGTCCTTTAGCTTAAATCAGTTTTAATACCTGTGTTCTGTTCTTTTGATGATAGTTGTTCTGAGAAAAACTGGAATTGAAATTCATATTATAAAATCAAAAGAAATAAATTGTATTCCACACACAATATACAGCCATTCATTTGCCCTATTTCTGACTCCCTCTCTTTTAAATAAAAAAGTTTGTATGAAGGCAGTTATCTAAATATCACCATCAATATGCCTAAAATCATAATTAGTAGAAAATAAGACAATATCTACGTTAACTGCACATGGGAAATATGGAATTTCTATGAATCCAAAGTTACAAAAGATCCAGAAAATTGTATTTAAAGTTAATGCGTCTGAAACTTCCAAACAAAACAAAACATAATAATCCTTAAGATGTTTTGGAAAAATAATAATAAAAACCATTACACTCTTGAACAGTAATAGAGCAGTAGTGAGGAAACAAAAATTATCTGTGTTATTATATTAGACACATTTAAACATAAAATGCTAGACTACATCATGACATTAACCACCTTTTGTGGCATTATGTCCACATCCAAATACTATAACAAATGGTGAACCTCACACCACAATGCTGAACAGTGTACAACTTCAAGTCATCACTAGTTTGAACCATATTTTGATAATTTTTTTTGCTCTTATTTTATTCTCTTCACAGCTAGTTGCCTTTGCAACAACTCAAGATGGATATAGTCCAGAATTTCCACTTCCCCTAGTAATCAAAATTGAGGATGAAAATGATAATTTCCCAATTTTTACAAATTCAACTTACATTTTTACAATTCCTGAATATTCAAGAGTTGGTGAGTACCTGCCCACTTGAACAATGTCTGGCAACTTGGTGTTTCAATTCAAAAGTTCGGTTTTCCTATGCCATTGGGAGGAGGCATATCCTGCTGGTAAGGAAAAGGACTTACCCATCAAGCTGCTCTGGGTGGAAATTTACTCTGCCTTTCACTAGCTAACTCTGTACTGTGACCCTGGGCAATTTTTTAAAAATTTGACAAGCCTTAGTTTCCTTAACTGTAATGTGGGGTATCAACATAAAGTTTGTCATGAAGATTAAATGAAGCATAATACCCCTGGAATGTCAAGCATAGTGTCTGAAAAATAGAAGTTGCTCAGTAAATGTTACTTTGCCTTCCTGTGGGAGATACAGTAATTACTTTTAAGAGAACACACTCCAAGAAATGGAAGCCTTTGAGCAACTGAAATCTTATCCTTGAAGAGATCTACTGTAGTGATGAAATGATTGACAATATTCTGGGCATAATCATAAGTTGTTGAGAATGGCCCATTTTAGCTGGAAGGCAGATTGTGGCTTTGGAGTCTTCCTCTAGAAAGATCTACCTAAACCAAGAACTGACGGAGAAAACTGACGCATATGATCAATTTAAGCACAAGCTTACCAACAGAAAAAGGTTAAGGAATAATTATAACCATTTCATCTAGAAATGCAAAGACCGTGAAGGAATATTACCAACTTTTATAAAATTATACATTAAACACAGTAAATGTGAATGTGGTCACCAAATTCCAAAATGTTACGCTGCTGGATATTTAAAAGGAGGGAAAAGTTTATATAAAAATCTGCAAACTATTATTACATTATTATTATAAAAACTATTATTACTCTGATATGTAAGTGTTCCAAAACACTTTTGAGGTAGACAGCAAGGAATGCTATAAAGGGAAAGTTGAAAATGTAAACGTTTTGGAAATTAAAGAGGATTTTTCGATTTGTAGGTTCCACGGTGGGACAAGTATGTGCAACTGACCTGGATGAACCTGGCACACTTCACACGATGCTGAAGTACTCCATCCTCGAGCAGTTTCCAGTCTCACCCGTGATGTTTTTTATGCACTCATCTACAGGTGTGATTACCACAACGTCATCTCAGCTAAACAGAGAGGTAACATCAACATTAACAAAAACTTTGCTTGCCATGTCATTATTTCATAGTACTTGAATCTCTCTGTATAAGATCACCTGTAAATGTGTTTTTGAAAAGTATTCTGTGAATCCAGTTTTAGAAAAATCATCATTTTAAGTATGTTAATGGAGGTCATGAATCTTGCAGTGCACTAATTTTGAACCTCTGATGTGTTCTTTCCTGAAGTGTGTTTTATAAAATCGAATTTCCTAATGCAAACATTTGTAGTGTTAAAAACAAGTATCAGATATGAGAAGTGAAACTGTGGAACTGTGTAGAAATTTGGAACTGTGTAGAAATTTGTAATCTATAGATAGCTTCTTTTTCAGTCTGCATCATGTCCTCCTCACTAAATTCATTTGCATTCTTCCATTTGCATAGATTAACAGAAATTCTACATCTCTCTAATATCTGGCTTACCATTTTCAATTGACTACTGAAAATCTTTATTTGAATGTTTCACGGGCACTCAAAATGCGATTAACTCTAAAATCAAATTTTTCTTTCCTTCTAAACATGCTCTCTTTTCCTTGTTTTCTAATCAAAATCATATTAATACACTCTCATCCTATTAATACATTTTCTATTATGACCTTGAATTCACATTCTCTCAAATATATATTTTGATATATCCTCTTATCCCCTAGATCAAATTATTTTCCAAAGCATATTGATATCACCTTCAAAATTATTTTATTTTTAAATTCTGTTCATTTCCACTGCAACTGTCATAGTTTAGTAATTTATTGACTTGGTTATTCAACTCTTTCCTCCTCCAACAAGCACAGATTTAACTGAATTCTTAGAGCAGTTTATCTGGCCTACATACTACATTTATAATCCTTAATCTTAAAGTATAGTATTACATGTTTATCAGGTATTCCTTTAATTTCTAAAACTTCATATCAGATTCATTTCCTCTTCTTCTTTCTCTTTCTTATGCAATAGAGCAGTGATCTTCACATTTTCTGACCTCAAGATTCCTTTATACTCTTATGCATTTTTGAAGATTCCAAAGATGTTTTGTTTATGTGGGTTATACGTATTAGTATTTACCCATTAGCATTTAAAACTGATAAAAATTTAAAATATGTATTTCATTACCCAGTTAAGATAATAATAGATATATTACATGTTAACATAAGTAACGTTTTTATAAAGAATAATTACATTTTCCAAAATAATAAATAATTTAGTGAGAATAGTGACATTATTATCCAGTTTTCCAAATCTCTTTAATATTTGGATTTATATAAGACAGATGGATTCCCATATCTCCTGCATTCAGTCTGTTATAATATGTAGTATTAACTAATATAAACAATGAAAATCCAACATAATACAAAGTTAGAAAAGAGCAGAGTATTTTAATAATAATTTTAGCTGGGCCCATGTGGCTCAGTAGTTGAGCATTGACTCATGCACCAAGAGGTCGCTGGTTCCATCCCTGGTCTGGGTACATGCCCAGGTTGTGGGCCAAATCCCCAGTGTGGGGCATGCAGGAGGCAGCCAATCGATGTTTTCTCTCATGGATGTTTCCATCTCTCTTTCCCTCTTCTTTCCTCTCTCTCTAAAAAAATAGTAATTTCAGACCATTTTGGATATTCATCTTTGATACTATACCAAAACATGACAAGTAGTAGTTTCCTAGATGTTTTTTGCAAAGTGCACTTTGAAGTCTTATCAATGAACTTACATAAATCATTATGTTAAAATCCTTTGGTCTATCTGTACTATGTGTGTATATTTCACCCATGCATAGCTTTATAACATCATGCATTAGTCATATTGGTTCACTAAGTTATGCAGATCTTCCAAATATTGACACATTTCATTAAACAATGTTAAAAAAAATCACCTCTTCATTTCCATTAATATCACAATGGTTGATAAAAATTTTCTAGAATTCTCATTTTATTTCAACACTCCAATTTATTATTGGTAACATAGTTTTGTTTGTGTTTTTCTTAATGTAATATATTCACTTTATGTTTGACAAAATGTCTTTCAAATATACCAATATGAATAACCATAGATGTCTTTCATAGAAAGATGGTATTTTATTAAAACAACAATAGCTAGTTCAGCTCATAAATCAAACAATCACACAAGTACTTTTCTTTGAGACGAACACTACACTATGCTTTTTAGCAGAAGTGCTCAATGTATACTTCCAATTTCTTCACATGTACTTTGGATTGAAAATTGGCAAAATTCATCATTTTCTTTTACTGTATCCACAAAGAAATTCCCAAGTGAAACTGGCACTTATTTATCTTATTATTGATAAATACATTTATTTTATTGTATGTGCCGGTGAAGGATCCAATGCCATTTCCTGGATAAATGAATGAATTAGTGTTACAGCTATACACACTATGCAGCTTCTTCCTGGGATTCATGTGCTCAGGGATAGCAGATCATAACCCAATTCCTCTCTTATCACTGAGTCCTAAATAGATCCTTCTGATAGAATCAGCTGAAAATGTATGAAGGAGTCTTAGAGTAGTTTTACCCAGAGTGCTGTGGTACCACTTCAGACGCCGGGATTCCAATTTTCATTTGTTACCTTCAACCCTTTAGGCCCTTTAAACATCAAAGTTGTTCTTTCGTTGGAGGATTTACACAAGTTAATATATTGGCTCACGAAACTTCATTTCTTTGTTTTATCAACCAGTTGGTTATTTCCAGTAAGTCTTAGTTCACTACAAACAAAATATATATTTCCTCCTGAAAGGATAGTAGCATGAGCTTTTTAGAATTTTTAAATGCAATAAGGCTTTTACTTTTTTAAATCAACCTATGTGATTAGTCAATTAGATAAAAGTACATCGAAAAAGTTTGTGTATGAAAAGCACAGAGATTGAGAGAAATGTTAGCTTTTAAGGAAATGAATGAAGACAAGGACGTTTAAGAGGTGATGGAAGGAAGGGAAGAAAGGTGGTTATGTAAGAGAATAGTGAACATTCTAAACAGAAGGTGAGGATAGTTTTTCACATATTATTTTGTCTTATGAAAAGAGGGGAATTATGTAGGAAATGCATTATTATTATCATTTTATAGAAGAGGAAACGTAGGTAAGGGTAATTTTTCAACTGCCTGAGATTACATTTGCTATTTTGGGAGGTGGGAATAGAACCCAAGTCTCCTCATGTTCAGTCTAGAAACATTATTATTAGTGTTTATAATCATTCTATATCTCAGTTACTTATGATAAATAAAACCATCATGAGGAGAAACCCATTTTTAAATGAGCAATAAGCCTTCTGCAATCTCTGATAAATGGAAAGTCCGAAGAGGCAGATTCTATTTTCCTTGGAGACAAAAAATGACATAGCCCTGCCTCTTGTTTTCATGCTAATTTAATGATCTTTTAATCAGTGTAAAGTAAATATTTAAAATCTATCTTTTTTACTGAATGATATTCACTTTATTTATTTATTTTTGCAAGACTGGTATGAGTCAGTGCAATCTGTTTTTGAACATATAAGTATGTGCTTTCGATAGGAGATAAAGGTTTTGATTAATTACTGGGCAGTTTTAAATGTACTAGGGCTGTATCTTTTCTTTCTGTTGAGTAAAGCTAAAATCAATTGATTCCATAATCTACAAGGAGCACTTTAAATTTGAGGAACAACCCTATTTTCATAAATTAATTAATTGTTATTAGTGTGAGGAAATTATTACTCTGCCAGTCCATAAAAGCTATGAAATTTAACAGTGTCCCTGTTAGATTTTTAATGCAAGGAAAATTATAAAGTATAAAATAAGACTTCATTTATAATGCTGCTTTCACTCAACAATTACATTTTTACTTTCTTTTCAGTTAGTTGATAAATACCAGTTGAAAATAAAAGTACAGGACATGAACGGCAAACCTTTTGGTTTGCAGACGACTGCAACTTGCATTATTTATGTTGACGATGTGAACGACCACTGGCCAACCTTTACTCAAACTTCTGTGAGTACATAATCTTAATAAAAGAAAAACGGACAACCCAGTGTTCATTGCTAAATATGCACTTCTCCATCCATGTCACATCATTTCAAATCTATGTCCCCTGGACAGTAGTTTGGAGTTAAGGTTTAAAATCACATAAATATAGTACTTTGGAAATCTGAAGAAGCGGGCTTACTTCACATGGTATTGTACTTATGTGAGAGTTACTAATTAAACTGTGTTTTGTTTTGATTATTTTAGTATGTGACATCAGTGGAAGAAAATACAGTTGATGTGGAAATCTTACGTGTTAGCGTTGAGGATAAGGATTTAATTAATACTGCAAATTGGAGAGCTAATTATACCATTTTAAAGGGCAATGAAAATGGACATTTTAAAATTGTAACAGATCCCAAAACCAATGAAGGAGTTCTGTGTGTGGTCAAGGTAAGAATAAATTAATAAATTTGTTGTTTGTAGTTTATATTATAGACTAGTATACTAGAGTTAATGGAAAGAAAAGAATTTTGGTAAATGTAGTAATAATATAGATATATAGATAAATGTAAATGCTATGTTCTTCATATATAATGGGATAAATATTTTTATTTCTGGAAACTTTTTTCTTTAAATTGAGGTATAATTGGCATAACATTATATTAGCTTCAGGTATACAACATAATTTGACACTTGTATATATTGCAAAATGATCACCATAATAAAGTCAAGTTAATATCTGTCATCACATATACTTACAAAACATTTTTTTCTTGTGATGAGAACTCTCAGGATCCACTGTACTAGCTACTTTCAAATATGCAACAGAGGATTATTAACTATAATCACCATGTTATACATTACATTCTCATGACGTATTTATTTTATCACTGGAAATTTGTACGTTTGGCGCCCATTGATTAAACAGTCCATAAGTAGCACTTTAAATTTCAGAAATAACTCTATCTTCACAAGTTAATTAAAACTTACAGTGTGAGGAACCTTATAGAAAGTCATGATTAAAAATATATATGTGTTCAAATAATATGATAATGATATCCACTTTGTAACCAGTATCTCTTAACAATTCATAAACGAGTACAGCTGTGATGCCCGTGGACAGGGCCAGACTTTCCAGCCCAACCTTTCTGTAGCTGGGGCAGGAGCCTCTACTGACTGAATGTCCCAGATAAGTTACTCCTGGTCAAACCCATCGGGAGGTTGTTTGTAGATCTGTTCTTCTTATCAGGTGTACATGACGTCCTTAGTTTTCTGGTTCAAAAGGAGAAGCTTCTGCTGTTGAAACATGTAAATACTTCTAAAACTTCCTTTTAATACTACTCTGCAGCATCTCGGAAGAACTCGCTGCTAATTCAGGAGCCAGAGCTAGCCCATAAAGTTGATCTGAGCTTCTTTGGCTTTAGACAGAGTCATAGGCTTATACCTGCTGCTTCTTTAATTAGAACACGATTCATTCCTGGGTTTATGGAGTTTCTCTTTTGTACATATTTACAAGGAGCATGGATCAAAAATGATGAATGCGGTTTTCTTACAATGATGAAAATTAGCTGCAGTCGGTGGGTTTTCTTTGTTTCAAAGCAGCAAAGAAATATCTTTTAGATCTTGTCTCTCTTTTCACCCAACCCCTGCCCTAATCATTGGTATTCGAAGAAGGAAATTGATTTCTGTGGCGTCTACAACCTGACACAGTTTCTGTCTTCTAGGAAACAGTTCTGCCCATTCTCATTACAACTAGTATCAGGCAAATAAAAACCTTCCGTTAAAGGTGGTACTGCCAGTTCTTTTGGAAAGTAACTAGATGGGAAAAGATAAAAAGGAAAGTGTGATGTCCATAAGCTTTCAATTTTCTTGTCTTTTCTCTCTTAATAGTGTTGTATAAAATTTGACCCACGTTTTTCTCTCCCAAAGAAGGTACAAATAATTTTATTGATCTCAAGAGGGTAGGAAAAGCTGTTCCAAAATTTAATGGCATAGCCAGTAACTGTTGGTTAGGGTACGGACCTCCTAAAGTAATATTTCAAGTATTAACCTTCAAATACTTTCATTAAATACATCCTGACAGCCCTGGCCAGTTTGGCTCAACCGTTAGAGTGTCGGCCTGCAGACCAGTGAGACCTGGGTTTGGTTCCCGCTAGGGGCATGTACCTTGGTTGAGGTTTGTCCCTGCTCCAGTTGGGTTCATGTGGGTGGCAACCACTCGATGTCTCTCTCTCACATCGATGTTTCTCTCTCTTTTCCTCCCTCCCACTCTATCTGAAGATAAATGCAAAAATGTCCTCAGGTGAGGGTAAAAACACTGTCATCAGGACCTATGATGTTACTTGTGTTAAATTGGCAGCTGGGGAACAGGTTCTTTGCTTGCTTGTTTTTTGCTTTGTTTCATTTTGCTGGTTTCATCAAACACTGGGTCAGTTGAAGGATTGCCCTCCTCCCACCACCGCCTTATTTCCAGGTATATGTTTAATATTCTCATGACTATTCCCTACATAGCACTTACACATTTCCAAATTGAAGTAGTTATCTATACACCAGTTAGCACCGCCAAATATTAAATGTCTTGAAGTGATTTTCCACACACTTGCTTTTGTAGCCGCTGAATTATGAAGAAAGACAACAGCTGACCCTGCAAATCGGTGTAGTTAATGAAGCTCCGTATTTTAGAGAAACTACCTCAAGATCAGCCATGAGCACGGCTACAGTTACTGTGAATGTAAAAAATCAGGATGAGGGCCCCGAGTGTACCCCTCCAGTGCAAACTGTTCGGATTAAAGAAAATGCACCAGTGAATACAAGGAGCAATGGCTATAAAGCATATGACCCAGAAACAAAAAGTAGCAGTGGCATACGGTATTTATAATTCAGTTTTATTAACTCCAAATTTATCTTGTTTTTTAAACTTATCATTTATTTTGACATCAGTATTGTAATTTGGCTTACGATACATTTTTTTTTTTTAAATTTTAATTCATTATTAACAGGTATAAGAAAATAAATGACCCAAAAGGATGGTTCACTGTTGATGAAAACACAGGATCAATCACAACTTTCAGACTCTTGGATAGAGAGTCAGAATCCATGGAAAATGGTTTATATAAAATCACAATCCTTGCAACAGACAAAGGTAAGAACTTTGTTTTTAAACTAGCTATATACATCCTCAACTACTTGCATCCTCAGCTGTTAAACCAGCAACATACATTCTTAAGTCAGCTGTATACATTCTCAAAATATATTTCTCCCCAAATGACTTAGAGAGCAATTGAAGTTTTGCTATAATTTATGAACGCATGTCTGCTTTCTAATAAGCACACTCAGTTTTAGGAGTAATTATAAAATAACGTAGTCTTAGAAATGCTTGAAACTTTAATAATTTATAAAAGTTAAATAATCATTAAAAATTGAGAAAATTGCCTGGCCAGTGTGGCTCAGTGGTTGAGCATTGTTCCATGCACCAGGAGGTCCCTGGTTCGATTCCTGGTCAGGGCACATGCCCAGGTTGTGGGCCTGATTCCCAGTGGGGGGTATGTAGGAGGTGGCCAATTGATGTTCTCTCTCATTGATGTTTCTATTTCTCTCTCCCATCCTCTCTCTCTAAAAATTAATTTAAAAATATATATTTTTTAAAAAAGAAAAACATTGAGAAAATTACGTCAGCAAAAATAGCTCTAGATTATCCAGTCATATCTCTTAAAATATTTACCTTGGCAGAAAATTTCATTATAGAGAGAATATACTTATTGCCACACAGTGCACTCCTAGAAAACAGTTCTGCCTTCTTACAGGAAGCTAACAGTATATGTAGGGGTTCGAATTTTGAGTAAGGACATTATGTAACAATAAATCATAGTCATGGTTAATAGTATGTTATGAAATTAGAAAGAAAGAGTACAAATCCATATAATCACATAAACTATAAAATCATGTGCTGTAAGTCCTACGAAATTGAGAAAAATATGAGCACAATGATTATGTATGAGATTCATTTGGTGCATAACATTTTACTATCATATGGATTTGAACTTTATGCCTTTTAAAAATATGCTAACTATAATAACATAAATTATTAAACTGTAGCTTGCAAAATTAGAATTTAGAAGTGATTTTAGAAATGTTTTAGATATTCCAATTCTGTCGAAATTAATGAGAAATGCCTCGTGTTTGTTGATTGAATTGGTAAAGTTGTAATCATTATTAATTTAACTTCAACCAATTAAAGACTTTGTTAAGTCCTCAGCTTCACATGTACCTTTATTAAGACATATATTTTTGGTGAAATGCAAATGAAAAGAATAAAAATAATATGAAACTCAAATCCATTATTTTCACATTTGATAGCACTTGGCAAATGGTTTGTTGCTTTTTGAGATAAAAATTACTGTCTGGAATTATAAATTTTGAATATATTTTTTTCTACATTCTTCTCTGTTGCGGACTAAATACAATAATTGAGAGATCAGGTATTTTTATGGAGTTTGGTTGAGAGGTTCTGTTAATCATCGTTGTGGTATAAAATAAACGTATAATAAGGCCTTTCCCATTTTTTTTTTTTTTAAGAAGGTAAGGGGATAAATAATTCCACATCTTTTTTGTTTTATGAACTGAAATAATACAAAATACACTTTTTTTGCTTCTTTCTCTTTTTTTACCTTTTTAAAAAATCTATATGGCTCATTTCCTTTGGGCCCTCCCCGCTACTTCTACTGAAAGACGCTCTGTCCTCGGGAGCACGGACCTCTGAGCGCGCTCACTGCCTCCTCCTTCTCCAAAGCACTTGTTTCTTCTTTTTAAAACTCTCTCAAGGGTTCCATGTCTTTATTTTCAACACACTCCTTTTTTCTATATGCTTTTGGGTTTTACTACCTTTTCCTCTCCTAAATATATCTATCTGTTCACCTTTGAGTTCGGTTTCTTTTTATTTGTTTTTCTCAGTCTCTTCTTAGTCTAAACTCTTGACAATTTCACCCCAGTATTTTCTCTATACAGGAGTTTTAGATTTCTCTATTTGATGGGTATTCCAAATTTGGGAAGAAATGTACTTTCAATTTTTTAAAACATTAGTAGGAGAATGTATGCAACATAAATCATGGGACCATGGGTGATCCATTTGACATGAGTTTACAATTGGAATAAGTATTTACCTATATAGAATTATACTAATATTAGAAGATAAGCATTGCATGCTTATACTCCAGTGAATAAGAGAGTATTATTTATTTCACCAACTGTTGGAAAACAGCTGTGAAACACTGTGAATTCTAAAATCTTTGGTTTAAATATTCTATAATAATACTAATTACAATGCACAAAAAAGAGGGCAGTTAAATTAGCAACTCTAAATGTTTAGTGGAAGGGAAATTCAAGCATTTATCACAGAAGTAGAAGAGCAAACACAGTAGGACCAATACAATTAACCAGATTTGATTGGGAAGAATTGTGCTTTGAACTTTGTGCGTGGACCCAAATGAAAACAAACGTCAAGGCATCCAATAGTCCCAATTCTCAGGGAGAACAAGAAAGCACCACATAGCATGAGAACAAGAGAAGTTAAAGGGTGAGATTATTGTGCCCTGATAGAAAGTATGCCAGGTAGATAAACTACATATCTCCCTGCCTTTCCCTCATTATGTCTTCAATGCAGGTGTGCAGACTGTGCTTTCCCATCTCCTTGAATTTCTTTGTGTTTTTAAATATATCAGAAATGTTCTTGTTCATACTCTCTCCCTTTCTCTTCTTAAAAATTAGTCAAAACTCATGTCTGTAAATGTTTCCATGTCTATTGTAGCTATTTAATGAATGAATGACATATCTCAATAGTAGTTATTGTCTGTACAACCCTTTCAAAATGATATTTTACCTTTAACATTCTCTAAGGATATAACCTGTGACTGCTTATTACTGTCATTTATAGGTTACAGGTGCCTAATAAATATTTTTTTATAATTTGAATGCATAATTTCCTACAGAAAACTCAAAATATTGACACTGTATTTTTATATCTGATTTTTTAGATGGAAGATCATGTACTGGCACACTGGGAATCATACTTGAAGATGTAAATGATAATGGGCCTTTAATACTTAAACAGACATTGATAATCTGCAAAACGGTCATGTCCTCCGCGGAGATTGTTGCTTTTGATCCTGATGACCCTGTAAATGGCCCACCCTTTAGCTTCAATTTGGAGGGTAATTCTGATTCAGAAGCACAGAGAATCTGGGGACTGTCACAAATTAATGGTATGTATTTCTAAACATTTCTTTGTCCTTTTCAATATCAGGTCATCTAAAATACTCTTTTCTTGTTTAATTTTTTTAAATTAAATTTCTTGGGGTAACATTATATAAGTTTCTGGTGTAGTACAATCAAGTCTGATTGTCTCCCACCATAATATATTTGACCCCCTTTATCCTGTTCATCCTCCCCCCAACCCTAACATACTTCTTTCTTGATGAAATAGAACAATAATTCACCAGGTGGGATCCACCAATGAGAAAAGGCAGGGTTCTCAGTTGTAGTGTGGTAGGTAAGTGGGTCTCTCTTGTGCTTATGTCTAATCAGTCTTGTGCCAGGATTCCCTGAGGGCTTCATGTGACTTCTCATTGTCATTCTTGTTCCTCATACACACAGTGTGGAGCAGTCTAGTATAATCACTTCCTGATTGGCTACCTCCCACCTCCAGAGATTCTTTACATGCTATTTGTTCCATAATAGAATCCCCAAATATCACAGGGCTGTTCCTCCAGGAAGCAGCTCTGAGACGGAGTTCTCAGGCAGAATGTTTATTAGGAAGTTTGCTCAGCATCAAAGGCTGTGACAGGAAGGGAAGCAGCAGGATTGGGCCAAAAGAGAAGTCAGGCTTAACTCAGGCCAAAGGATAGTCTCAGCCGACCCCATGGGGAGTCTGAGCTAATTGGTCTTCAGAGTGGCCCCACCTTGAGTCTCTTTACTTTCTCCTGGCTCACTCAGCAGGGTGGGCTACCCGGACAGGCATGAACTTTTGCTGAAAGGCACAATATCTAAAGGTGCTGATGTCTCCCAAGCAGCTAGGATAGTTAAACCCCAGATTGCAGAGGGATCTGGGTGTGCATCACAGTGTCTACTGTATTATCTCTCCTATCTCTGTTGCAGTGATTTCTGACCATTTCTTCCCTATTGTTTTCTACTTGGGATTCTCCCACAACTTGGCCTCTAGTCTATACTTCTGACTTTAAGCACAACAGTATCTATGGTGATAGCAATGGCAAAAGTAAAAGGGACATCTCTAAACCACCACTGTTCACTCCCCACAGCAGCTCTTAACTCTTCAGCACATTCGCCATCTCCTAAGTGTACTGCCTGTGGGCCACAATGTCCTGGCTCCCTGGACTACAGCTTGCATGACTGAAGCTCTATTAGGCTGAATGGGGTCTCTCTTAAAATGTCCTGGAATAATTTTCAGCCCCATGCTTTCAACAAATATTCCTCCATTTCTCATTATGGAAAACTAGAAAAGAAAGTGTTTGCATAAAGGGAGAGGAAAAACAGAATGGAGGAAGAAAAATAAGGACATATACAAGCTATGGTGGCAAGTGAAGGCACCGTGTCTAGAATTTCAGACTATTATGAAACAACAGCCTGATGAATCATGTATAGAAGAAAACATACACTGAATGGTTACATTAAAATTTTTAAAGCTGTGATTAAAAAGTAATCTCTTAACAAATTTAATAGTTAGGATAGGAAGAATTTATTTATGGACCAATATATTATTACAAAACGCAAAAGACCCTTTTTAAGAGACAAACTTTTATGTGCAATATGTTTACAACGCCTGTAGATTAGAATTACTCAGTCCATTCACATTTACAATCTTGAGGCAGGTGTATCATCCCATCAGGAATATCCATTTGTGGGGAAATTTGATGACTATCCTATTACTAGTTATTTATGCTCAGGAGAAATCAATGACATCCTATGACACTTCGTTTTATTTTCTTTCAGATACAGCAGCACGACTTTTCTATCAAAACGACCCTCCATTTGGACCATATACAGTAAATGTCAGAGTTACAGATAAACATGGCCTGTCACATATCACTCCATTAAACGTTATAATATGTGACTGTATTACTGAAAATGACTGCACACTTCGCTTCGTTCCAAGGACTGGCAACGGAGGAGTGAAACTTGGAAAGTGGGCCATCCTTGCAATATTGTTGGGCATAGCCTTGCTATTTTGTGAGTCCCTTCTTGAACGCAAATAATAGCCTTCAAAATAACTTTGAAGACACATTCTTAGATCAACACTGTTATCTATAGCTGTTCGTTTGTATATAGCTGGATTCTTATCTAACAGAAAACTTGAGTTTATATATTGAAAGGGCATTTATTTATAGTTCTGTTATCTCAGCCAAACCAAAATTTATCACAGAAATACAGCATTTAGCATGTCTTTGGGTCATATTTGGTGAGGGCAGACTTTTCTATTGTATGCTATTTTGATACGAGCCATCATATGTGCAATTTCTGGAAAGCTATCTTTGTATTAGTCATCATAAATTTATAACATCACATTGTCTTATGGTAAACTTAAGTGATTTCTCTCATCCTCTAGGTATCCTATTTACCTTAGTCTGTGGGGCTACTGGAGCAGCCAAAAAGCCAAAAGCATTTCCTGATGACGTCACCCAGCAGAACCTCATTGTGTCAAACACTGAGGCTCCTGGAGATGACAAAGTGGTAAGTAGTTTGTCTTTTTAAAAGAAATACAAAGGATAAATTGACCTAACCAAATATAATTATCTTTTCTGAACAAAGTCCTTTTGAAATCAGGTAACTTGCTATATATATAATGTCATTGCCCCATGGAACATATAAAATGACATTAATTCCCATAGTGATAGCTGGCATTTCCAGTTAGCCACAGTGTTACTTAATAGTAAAAATCCTTGAGCATGTCACTATTATTTTCTATTTCAAATGTTTCATGATTTCAACTTTAGACTCAGTGGTTTTTATATATTGAAACTACTGTTTATGCTGTAAAAATGTTTCATTTAATTATTCACAGATCACTAGCATAATTGTTTTAATTTTGTTTTGTTTTTTTGGCAACAGCAATAAAATGACTATAAGCTTTGATCAGCGTGAGAAGAACTTTAATAGAGTCTTTCTGACTCTAATGTGGGTTAGAAAGGAGCCTTAGGTCAAATATATGAAACAGCAATGCCAGCAAGTGATTACATTTGCCCCAGCTTTGATTTCTAGCCTAAAATGTCCATGAAGAACAAGTGAATTCCCTACAAAAAATATAATTGATGATTAGAACAGGAAAGATTTAGAAAACAAAAAGATATTGACATCTAGGAAGGTACTGGAAAAAAATAAAACTTCAGAGTTCTCTATAACAACACAAAATAGAAATTGGTGGTCAAAGATCTGGTATTCTTATTTTCCCTGCTGATGTATTTTTATTACTTTTATTTATTTAGATGAAAAGATGTATTATTGCAGCTAAGATTTTTTTATGGCAACTTTATTTCTATTATTTGTTTTAGTTGAAGGGGAACTAGATTAGACACTGAATAAAAATACTGATCATTATTTCTGTTTTTTCCCCTAGTCAAATGAAGGGAATGGATTTAAATTACGCAGGGTAAACACACGTGAGACCATAATATTGGAATCCTGACTTTGAGGTGTGAGGCGCTGGAAGGTTTTAACAAATGAAGTTGTACAGTATTGTAAGAAGTTTTAAAAGACAGAATACACATTAAGCTTTCTGATTTGTCTCAAGATATAGGCCGCTTGACATCTGCGATTTGCTTCTTGTGTTGGCCACTACGTGAAGACGAGGGTTACAATAGTTAGGTACTCAGGATTGCCAAGACAGACTTAGTTCCTGCTCTCAGAGAACTTACCTTCCAGCACAAAAATTCAGGGCACTGCCTGCATGGTGTATTCTTCTCCTTCTTATTTTTCGTTGTCCTCCTCTGTATTTCCCAAATGCAAACTGTTTTTGTTTCAGTATTCCGCAAATGGCTTCACAACCCAGACTGTGGGCAGTTCGGGGCAGGGAATCTGTGGCACCGTGGGATCCGGAGTGAAAAGTGGAGGGCAGGAGACCATTGAGATGGTGAAAGGAGGACAGCAGACCCTAGAATCGTGCCAGGGGCACGGGCATCACTACACCCTGGAGTCGTGCAGGGGAGGTGGACAGTACACCCTGGACTCCTGCAGGGGAGGACTTGTGGAGGTGGACAGCCACGGACACACATACTCCAAGTGGAGGAATTTCACCCAGACCCACCTTGGTGAAGTGAGTTTCCCTAAGTGTCCTACAGATCTATGTGGATTTCTTTTCAACTTTCTAAATGATTGCAATTTAATGCCCTGACCTTTATGTTTAAGTATCAGTCTACTATTTGGAAAGTTATTTTTCCTTAATTTTGATTTAGTTGTGCTCAGTTGGGAAGTGGATCTTTTCCTCACATGTTGTTTGTTTTTTTAGTTCTTACCGAAATACTGTGAGACATTTAAATTATTTTTCTTATGATTCTGGGTTAATATTTTCCACCTGACAAGTTGTGTCTTAGTAATCAAAAGTCTGATACAAGAGCATCCCAGCCAGTCACTATGCCTGTCTGGAAAGATTTGAACGCATATGACTTTGGGATCCATTTAAGAGATGTGTTTCATGTTAGCCATAATTGTGAAAGGGAAAGTGATGATTACTTAAAATGAACACATGTGTCCTTGTGTCACATGTGTGGCTGTTCAAAACATGCTATAGAGTGAATTTATAGTGTGATCTATGATGCAGACCAATCATGTGCATTTTTTATATGTAGGAACCCATTAGAGGACACACTCTGATTAAAAATTAAACAATCAAAGGTAAATCAAAGCCATTATTTTTATGTTCGTAAGTTTTGGTGTTTAAAATAATAATAATTAAATATTATTATTTTATTATTGGCAGAAAGTGCAGCGGTGTAATCAGGATAACAGTCACGAACATGCTCAAGACTACGTCCTTCCATACAACTACGAAGGGAAAGGGTCCGTGGCTGGGTCTGTAGGCTGCTGCAGTGAACGGCAAGAAGAAGATGGGCTAGAGTTTTTGGATCATTTGGAACCTAAATTTAGGACACTAGCAGAAACATGTGTCAAGAGATGAGTGCATCCCAATAAGTCTACAAAAGCCAGTGGCTTTATCACCTTCTCTTTTTGTTTTTTAAATTAAAGGCTAGGGATTTTTTGTTTTGTTTTGTTTTTTTCTTAAATAGAAGATGCTATGCTTGGGACCACCTTTTGTTTTGATGGAATGTCTTTAGGAAAATGCACATTTACTAAGAAATGCTGTAAAGAAGTGCACAGATTTCCTAATTCTTAACGTAGTTTTCAATTACTTGTCTTCCACCTAAGGAGACCTACAGAAACAGAAATACTAAGGAAGTCTACATTATTGTTTACATTTGGGTATAGTGACAACAGCCAATTTATAGTGCAATAAAATATAATTGGTTTATCTAAATCATAGACTACTTAAAGTATAACCTAATAGGAAATTGTAGAGACCTTGCTTTAACATGATCTCCAGTTAATTAATTAATTGGTTGTGTGGTGCTTGAAGACTGTTGTTCTCCTAAACATTCTGAAGTATATCAATACTGAATTCTTGATATTGTTTTATTCTTATAACAAGACCTTTCTTCATAATGCAAAGGGAGACTCCCAACCAGGCATTGACTGTTATAACAATTCTATTTTGGTGGAGTTGAGTTTCTAGGTTTTATTTTATATAAAATCCTGCACTGAATCTACATTTCCCCTGTTCCCCACCTTGTCAGCAAAATTTAAGTTTAAAAAGTGCTTTAAGAATGTATTTTTATCCCTGGCCGGTTTGGCTCAGCGGTTAGAGCGTCCGTCTGCAGTCAGGAGAGACCCGGGTTCAGTTCCCGCTAAGGGCATGTACTTCGGTTGCAGTTTGTCCCTGGCCCTGGCTGGTCATGCGGGTGGCAGCCACTCGATGTGTCCCTTTCACATCGATGTTTCTCTCTCTCTCTCTCCCTCTCTTTCCCTCCCACTCTATCTGTACAAAAAATGGAAAAATGTCCTAGGGTGAGGATAAAAAAATAAAAATTAAAAAAAAAAAGAATGTATTTTTACTCTTGCAAGGTTTTGATCCATCTCTCTCTCTCTCCCCCCCTCTCCTCCTCCCATCTTTCCCTCCCTCTTGGGCTCTCCTTTCCATTTCCCTCCCTCTCCCCAACCTCATCTCTCTCTCCCCAACCTCATCTCTCTCTCCCCAACCTCATCTCTCTCTCCCCAACCTCATCTCTCTCTCCCCAACCTCATCTCTCTCCCCAACCTCATCTCTCTCTCCCCAACCTCATCTCTCTCTCCCCAACCTCATCTCTCTCCCCAACCTCATCTCTCTCCCCCCAACCTCATCTCTCTCCCCCCAACCTCATCTCTCTCTCCCCAACCTCATCTCTCTCTCCCCAACCTCATCTCTCTCTCCCCAACCTCATCTCTCTCTCCCCAACCTCATCTCTCTCCCCAACCTCATCTCTCTCTCCCCAACCTCATCTCTCTTTGTTTTTTAAAAATTCTTACTTGGGTTGGAGAATCTAAATATTTTTTAAATCTGTGTCTTTTTTCTTCTCTTATAAAGTGAGTTATTTTGTTTCAGTTTTATGTGAGGGCATGCAGTCTTGGTTTTTCTTAAAATCAACATAATATTGACTTTAACTGTTTCAAATATCTTGGTGATTTCTTCATTATCTCTTCAACACAGAACCTTTAATTTTGCCTTTGAAATTGTAGAAATGTGTGTGTGTGTGTGTTTTTTTATTAGATGCAACTTTCTATGTTACCAAAAGGAATAGTGTAATTAAAATTGGGATGTGGCTATTTTGTATATAATAGAATATTTATAGTTCATATCTTTAATGCAAGGATGCCATTTATAAATGGAAAATAGTGTTGGTTTTTAAAATAAGCTTTAAAATACAGGATTGTGACAGCTCTCTAGGAGCAGATAGTTTATAACTTTTTAGATGACGTGGCTTGTCATGCCTATGTGTTTGTAAAGTAAATTTTTCATATTTTAAGATTACAGTTTTTAACAATGGAGAGCAAACTATTTAAATTTTGAAGCAGTGAGAGAAAATTAAACTTAAGAGTCAACCAAATTCTTGGCCAGGTTTCACAGCTGATTTCAGTCAGTGAAGTTTCTATAGATGCTAACTATATGGACATTTAAGTGCATTTCCAATATTTGTGATTTTTAGTAATATGCTTATCTTAAATTCACAAGGTTAGCTTTATATAACAATTATTTTTAAGGATTCATATTTGATAATAATTCAGTAGTCAGTTCATCTTTTTTATAGTTCCATTCCTACTCAGTCAAATATGCTATTTCTCAGTTATTTTTAATAAATTATGTACAAAATTCTTGTATATTACTGGTGGTGATAAAGAAAATCAAGTAGGTTTTAAAAATTAGTATGAGGTTCTTAATCACGTGTGTGATACAAGCTTATGGGATTTTGTTTTGTTACTTAGAGAAAGGAGTCTCTTCTTTAGAATCCTGTTATATAGTTTTTAGAATTTTAGAGCTTAATTGGTCCATTGTTATAATTTTTCTATTCTAAAGACTGTGATGCTATGGGATATTGTTAAGTTTCATAATTTCTCTGTGTCTGGTTTTCTTTCATCATAAAATGGAGACATTAATAATAGAACTCCTTTCCTAGGGTGACTGTAAGACATTTGAATAAAAAAATGGGTTTTAAGCATGAAAATCACACAGAGTGATCCACCTAAAAGGCACTCCTAATAATACTAATGGGTTTTCAATGTCACATGTACAACCTATTTCATATTAACAAAAATCAATTAAGAAAATAAGATAACAGGAAGGATTTTGTTTGTTTGTTTTTTTGTTTTTTTTTTACTTTATAATATTTGTCAATTGAGTATGTGTCTCTTCATAATACTCTCTTGATAACTGGGTATTATAAGTTCAATGGTTCAGAACATATATTGCGAAGACTGCTGAAGGATCTGCAAAGGATTGCCTAGTTTGAAATACTATGAAACTAATTAGATGGAAAGAGGCACCTCCACTTCTTAAAATGGGCACTAATTCAAAAGCCCTATAAAATTATATGTGTATAAGATTCCTCCTGTCAAGCCTTTACTGAGCTGTTCTCCTTGCTGTCCTGTTAGAGAGATGGTTTTCTATGGGACTTCAGAAGTCACTGAAAAGTCACTGAGAAGTCTAATCCCCTCACTTGTATGACCTGCTTAAGGAAGTTGGAGGAGTCTACTTTATACTTTTGTTGTCAGAGTTTAAAGAGTTAATTCATGAAAAGACTTGGCATAGAGTTAGCACTCAATATAAGTTAGTTAGCTGCTACTATTTTATGAAGAGAGGATGCTGTAGTTGGGAATAATCATAGCTCTAGTCTCCACTTTGCTTTACAGCTGACGTCTTGCCATGACGTTGCCATTCACCTTTCCCAGAGCTCGAGCAGTATTTTACAGTGATAGTCTTCGGGAACTTTGTGGCTTAGAAGCTTCCAGGTCTCTCATTCTTGGTAGCCAGGAAGCTGCATCTTACCCATAACCCACAAATCAGTATGATAAATCTTGAGACTTAAAGAAAAAGCAGATGAAAATCCTAATCAACCATATATTGCTTTAAGGAGGCAAATAGGGATCAAACGCTTAGAAATTTTCCCTAAGAAATGGATGGTGCTGTTTCAAGAGGAGGAAAACAATGAGGATCTGTTGTTAGTTCAGTGCGGCCTGAGCCTGGGATCTTCCTGTAATCATTTTCTGGGTGTTTTCTTTTTTTTTTGGACTCCTTATTTTAAGAGTGGTTTTTATCTTGGTTCCCAATTTTTTTGTGCAAAATCTAACTTTGACAACAGACTTCCCTTGAATCTTCATCTCCAGCCTTTTCCTGGGCCCCACATTGAAGTCTTGACACCAGACTTTGCCCTGGTCAACATTTAGGCAAGTAACATCCTGAAAACAAAATGCTTTTCCCGCTATGTGCCTAGAGGCATCACATTTTCAACTTCCTTGAGTTTCCTAGTGGTTACTCGATATCTATGTAGATCTACAGCTCTTCCTCAGTTCTGCGAGACCTGTTATTCTCTTAGTACTCTAAACTCACTATGCAAAAAGGCATATTACCACATCAAACCAGATTCTCCTGGGTTTTCTGTATAAATAGCATCTTAATTACTTGGGATGGAAACAGAATTCTCAATTTTTTTTCTCTCCTTGCATAGCACATCCCATTTATTGCCCCAAACTGCCCAACTTTCTGAGAATTTTCAATGCAATTTTATTCATTCATTCACTCATTCATTCACTCATTTTTTTGTATACAGTCATTTAGTTTTTTCCCAGGAGAGCCATGTAAGGCCTTCCTAATACAGACTGTGCTGATATGAGAAGGTACAAGATGAATCAGTTACTCATTCACTCACACACTCTAGTACAGGACAAGCCATGGTACAGCTTTAAGTGGATGTCAGTATGCATGGGCCAATGCCTGCAAAATACATCACATGAAACCTGGCACATGGTAAGTGCTCATAAAAACATTCCAGGTAATGAAAAAGAACCAGACTTTACTATTCTAGTGAGTGAAGTAGTGCTTCTGGTACTCCCAAGCCAATTGTTCATGACCATGAGGAGTACCCTACTTGTCCTCCACGCTTCTCTTCATACTTTTCTCTAGCCAATATCCAGATTCAAACCCTCAGCAACATTCAGCTGCAAGGGTGTTTGTGCCTCCAATCTCTCCACTCTTCCCAACTGCCATCATAGAACAGAGATAATCATGGCATTTTCTAAGGGCCTTCCACGGTTTTAGAGAATAAATTTGAATGCAAAATCACTTTTGAATACTGATTTTCCTGTACCCCACACACACATTCTCTGCCTTGCTCATGTGGTTTCCATTTGCAATGTATTTATTCACTTGTTTTTCACTCCTTCCTTGGTGAAAATATGACTTTTTAAAGATGTAGTTCAAATACCATCTCCTCTAACCTAGACATGTATGTGTCTAGAGCACATCATTGTACAATTTTTGCTTAATAGGTTTACATGTATGTTTGTAATGTGTCTATATATGGATCCATTTGTGTGTGTGTGTGTGTGTGTGTGTGTGTGTTTCATATGGGAAGTTCACTGAGGACAAAGAAAGGTGATCACATGCCAATAGAATTCTAGCCATTGGTACATTTTGATAAGTCACACTGTATTGCCCAGGTCACACAAAGGAAAAAAGAAAACAAATTGTTATTTGATTCCTAGTGCACTACATTACATTCCTATGATATATTTTCTTTATGGATAGACAAAATGTATGTTAGATTCTTTATTGAATTATTTTTTTTCAACCCAGAGACATTAAATACATAGAACATCAAACAGCTGCATTCACAACTTAGAGCAAGAAAATGAGGTGGTGAAGATTTGGAATCAATATTGCTCACCCCTGCATCTTAGCATAATAACTAAAAGAAAAGAAGCGTCTGGCAAAAACTTCTCCCTTGGTGTGGTGGGGCTGGCAGATCCTGTCTGGATCTTATGGTTCACTTCTTACCTTTAATAATCGCATAACCCTGTAACCAGCTGCACCACACTGAAATGTAAGCCCTGAAGGTTCTTGCTTATCTTCTCCACCACAGTGTGCCCAGTACACAGGACAGTAGACTCTCAGTGTGTTTGTTATATGAATTAATGCACTTACTTATTAGGTTCCTGACCAAAATTAGACTCAGTTTGCCTAAAGAACCATTTTTTCCCCCTCAAGGGTGAAACTTAGTGATCAATGTGAAAATCATATTCGTGACAATCGG